ACAACAGGTTTTTGTGCAACTATTTAATTCCTATGTTTGTATATATTGGTCGCTGGGTTATAAACTACTTTTTCTAATACTGCACATTTAAAAAAAAAAAAATTTTTCTATAGATATAATTTTGCGCTTTCGCAGGGACTTAAGTTGATTCTCTGGAGGAAAAGCACTAAAATAAATGTATGCTTTATACTCTAAAGTTCTTAATGTAAATATAATATATGATTATAACTGTAATTCTATGAAAATATGTATACAAGTATAAATATTATTAGAAATTCCAATGTGCATAATTTTTTTCGTGGTATTTCTTACGTTAGCACGTTATTTTTGTGTTAACGTTGCACAATAGTTTTACCATTTTTTACATTTGTTTTTTTCAGTCTGCTTTTTAGTATTAATAATAGAATTCTTGTATATACAAAATATATGTATGTGTGAATAATATTAAAAAAAGGATCTTAACTACACTATAGGAGTACAGGTGGAGTACATGTTCATTGTATAAGATTGTTTTTGTTCTAAGAGAAAAAAAAAAAGAAATTGGGTCAAAACCAATTTTGGTCCTTGATAAGACACTAAATTGCACTTGAAATTTTTATAATTTCCCGGAAACAGTTCTAAATAAATTTTTTAAGAAGAAATTACAATGTTTAATCTAATATTTTGAAAAAAAGCCAAAAAAATCTTTCAAGTCCACAGTTAAGACTGCTATGTTATCCGATAGAATTTAAGGAACTCAAACTTGAGTTATTAATAGAGGAAATCGTTTTATATTGAATGTCATATGGCAAGAGAGCATTCAAGGTAAATCAAAAGATGAAATATTTTTTTTCGTTCTAAAAAATAAATTACATAGATATTTTTTTGCTATATTCCTCACATACATTGTGGCTGAATTTACTATGTGTTAAAGGTGTTGAAATTAGGATTTGTGATAAGACCCCATATCGGGTTGCGGTAAACAAAATTTAAAAAAACTATTAATCTAGTGATGTACAGAAATCGCTACATGATAATTATGAAATTCAAAAAACGAAAAACTTTTGACAAAATCCAAAATAATGATGATTAAAAAGGATCATTAAAAAATTGAGAAAAAAAATTGATACTCGCTTCAGCTGAATTTTGATATGCTGAAAAATTAATAAGGTTCAAACTTGAACAGTAAGGGCTTTGTATACGTGGTGAAGTTCACGGCAAAATCTTTAAAGAAAATTTATTAAATTTATACATAAAATTCAATTCTTAAATGAAAATCTAAATTAACCCTTTTAATATATTTTGTATATACAATCACACAATATTGAAGTCTCAAATTATCATAAGATTCCAAATAAATTCTAGTTAATTTATAACGTAAAACTTATATACACATGTATACAAATATAAACTGTAAAATACTCAATCAATTTTAATTTTCTTTTGTGAAAATCTTATAATTTATTATAGTTGCTCTTTCCTGTAGAATCATTAAGGATATTCTGTGTTAATGATTTTGAAAATGGAATACAATATTCTTCTGAGTTCAATGGTTATTAACATTATAGATATTTTCGCAATACTGTTATTTTCTTTTTATAAGAAGAAAGAAATGTAGAATCTAATTGACTCCCAGTAGGCCGTTAATGATCCAAAAAAAAAAAATATAGATTTCTTTTCCCTCATATGTTCTTTGTCGTTTTTGTTGGTTTATGCTGTGAGAAATTGATCTATGATATGTCAATTCCCATTATAGACTTTTATTTAATCGTTAATCTTTTGCAAAAGATATTTTTTTTGTGTTAATACTTAATCTAAATGAAAAGTTACGTTAAAATTAATTTAATGAACTTTGATTTTCGATTTATGCTCATTTCAAATAATTATCAATAGCCAAAGTTCCAATTCTAAATGTAATATAGTTTTGTTAAAATAATTTTTTTACGGACGGTGATTTATACGCCATTTTGTGGGAATAATGGCACAAACAACGAGTATTTGTGAAAATTCTGTAGTACCTGTTACTTAAGTATAAATTAATAATCGGTCTGTAATCAAATTATTAAAAAAATATATTGGCACCTATACTCTGGAAATAACAGTAAAGTAGAGTCTAGAAAAAAACATGTTCTGTAAAACGGAGGAAAATTGAACTCGTATACAGACGATACTTTCTTGCGATTGATATTATAATCGCATGAATAATACTCGTACAATAGGTAAAAATTTACTACTCTATTTATACCCTTAGGAACGTATGTTCGAAGTGTACACTAAATTAGCCTTACCGTTTGTAACGCTAAGAAATAATGGTCTGAGATGTCAACTCAAGTATATGTGTTTGATCAGCGTTGAATTCTGAGTCGATTTAGCTTTGTTTGTCTGTCCGTCAGTTCATCCGTGCGGTCGTCCGTCCGTTCCAACGATAACTCAAAAACTAATTGAGCTTAGTTTACCAATTTTTCACAAATGATTTATTATAGTAAATGTCAGAACCCTTATTAGCCATTATTTAAATTGGTTATGATCATGGTACTGTTTCGGATACCTGCCATAAAACTTCCGAATTTATTTGGTTATAACTTATAACTTAGAAACTGTAAAAGCTGTGACATTGAAATTTCGCATAAGTAAATAAGATTACTGAAATTTTATACACAAAAAGTGCACAGTACTGCAATTTTGCAAAAATTTATTGATATGGTAATATGGCAACTTAGTATGTCTCATAATCAGCTATGAGATAATTTTAACTCGTACATATGATAATAAATTCGTACGGGTATCACAGAGTTGACACGGTCAACTCTATTTTTTCTCGTTTTAGTCTTTATTTTTCATCAGTTTCTCCTGAATTTTTTGTTCTTCAACTCCACTCTTTTCAGTTCTTCAACTCCACGTTTCGTTTAGTTGCCATGCAAACACTTTGACAAACATTAAGTCGCTCCTCGAAAATCAATAATATTATTAATTTCTAATAGGATAATAACTATCCCGGCAATATTTAATACAAAATGGTATTTATAAGTTTTTATAAAATCAAATTATACCACTGTGTATTATTGCGACTCCTATTGAAAATTACAATGTTCTACAATTCTACATAAATAAATTTAGAAATAGAGACATTAAAAAATTTTAAGCAAAAATTTGCGAGGCTGTACAAGTTATATAGTATTAATTGTTAAATTTTGCACGAAAGGGTAATAGATTAAACATTCTTTATAAGGGTTTTTGAATATAAATCCCGAAAATACTCTCATGGATATTATTTGATACTGCCAACTCTCTTTTTTCTAGTAATTTTATCAAGAATATTTCTAAGAATTCATAACAAAAACCAAAAATATTGCATAATACTCACAAATTTTCTTAAGAAATCGTTAAAGTTTTCAGTAGTGAAAATATATTAACAGTATAAAGCTTATACTTCAATAACAGTGTTATAGATTGATATAACATCGAAATTTTTGTATATTGTCCATATTTACTTATTAAGAGATAGATTTAATATCTTAATTTTGAACAGAGTAAAAATTATAATAAAATAAATCTCAATATAATTTTCATATTGCGTGATATCCTTATTTGAAGTAGTTAAAGTTAAGGCACAGAATAATAAACATTCAAAATGATAAGAGGACACAAATTTCAAAAAGTTTAACAAGAAAACCCTCCAGACGCCAATAATGAATTCATTCATCTGTTAGAAAATTTTCATTGTATACTCACATCTTGTACATACACTATATAATATACATACATATATTACAATGTTAGTGTATTTATTTTATTATCATTGTGTACAGGCACGTAAAAAAGTTTTAATCTTCATAATAATAATAATAATTGTCCGATAAGATAATCCGTATGCTTTTCATCTCATATTTTATTATACTTATAAACCTTCTCTTTGATGTTTATATTCCAGCACAATAAGTTCGACGTCACTTTAAAAATTTGCTATATTTGTATTACGTTTATAAGGAAATATTCATTGAATTTTGCGCGTTCTTGTGAAGAGGATTATAAATGAATAAACGGAATAAAAAATTGAGAAAAAACAAAAAAAAAAGGCAAGTAAATCAACACAGCGATAACAAAATTAAAAAAATAAAACGAGACCATAATAAATAATGCTAATTTAATTGAAATTTTTGGGCTTTATCCCAAAATAAATTTTTATATATATGTGTATAGCAAAAATTTAAAAGATGTTACAAAAATAAAGAAGAAAAATTACTTTATAGCATATTTTTAAACCAAAATTCTAAAAATAATATGCGTTTCCTACATAATTGTATTTTTGTCACTTTGTTTTAGGAGCGCGAGTCAAAATCTAATTTTATTTTAATAGAACTTCGAAATTTTCTGTTTCGTTTCGTTAAAATATGAGAAGCAGCTAACAGAAAAGGAACAGTAATCGCTTTAATTGTAAAAGTTTATTTTTCCAAATAATTTAAGAGATACAAGTAAATGCTAAAGCAGAATGTCGAAAACTCGAAATTACTCTTTTCGTCATCCATTTTCTTCTTTTCTGAAAATTTTGACGGGCATTCCTACATAAATTCTGCAAAATATTCTTGAAATTATGCAAAATATTCTACCGTAAGCTACTTTGATTCATAAACTCAAAAATTTATACGCTTATATAAATTGAAATAGCATGCGACCTACAAAACTACAAAAGAAAAATTCTAATCCATTCGAAATCCATAACTGTTTTAAGATAATGTTATGGCAATAATTATTATGAATGACAAAAAGTATATAACATTGTGCTGCTAACCATTTTAGAGAAAATTGCTTCTTCTTGAACTAATTATCCCGTTCACACTTAATTTTCAACAATATGCAATTAAATATAAGTTAAAATTGGAGGGATTCCAACATAAATGAATAAACAATAAAAATCATTTTTAAAAAAAACATAGAAATGCTAATTCACTCATAAAACAGGACGATGATAATTTCTAAGAATTTTAAAGTAAAAAACAAAAAAAAAAAAAATGTTTACTTACCTAATAAATCATTTACGCCAGCAAATGTCATTACTAATGAAGCAACAAATAAATCCGCGATGGCTAATGAGGCCAAAAATAAATTTCCTATTCGCCTTAAACTTCGTTCTGTATAAATAGCAAGGCAGACTAAAATATTACCAGCTACAGATAAAAAAATTAATAAAGACAGGAAGACACCTGAAATTAAAAAAAATGAAAATTTTCAATTATTAATATTCATTATGCAATAATTTGTTAATTAATTATATACAAAATTAATTCGTAGTTCATTAAAACTGTTATACATGCTATATCCGTATATAAAGTAAAATTTACATCTTACGATATAATATTGATGTTAATCACAGAATCTAATTTAATTAATATTACTTATAATTTATCTTTTAGGTTCATTAAATTAACACCGATTATTCAAATTGTAAATTCAATAAATTATTTATAATTAAGAATACAAAATGGTTTTATAATTACACCTACATTCAATTATTGCTCATATTTTATGTTGATGTGAGACATGAGATGTGAAATAATGAAAAGAAAATTGTTGATTAGTGACAAAAGGAAAGTCAAACGTAATATTCAAGTCAATTATATTTTATAAAGATTGTGAAAATTCGTTAATTAAAATCAACATAAAGAGTATAGTTCATCAATTTCTTTGTGACTTACGTTTGCGAAAATTCCAGTCCGAATGATAAATTGGAATTGTTTCCGAAATTTTATGTCAAATGACATAGCATAATAAATTATTGGACGATAGATTTTTTAAAAATATTTGTGGAGAATAATAGATTACTCCAACTGAACCTTTTTGTCGATATGAAACTTAAATGATTCTTAAAAAGTAACTGTATGATTTTGGGACAAGAACTATTATTTAATTTGCTTTGCAAAAATTTTATTTGAATTGCTTGTTTGATATTATTGAAAACTTAATGATTAAACGTTTGCCGTTTAAAGGAAATATCGATTTTCACCTGTACAGTTATTTACAATTTACTATTTTGTTCAACAATTTTAATCCTATTTTTGTCTATAGCCCTTCAAATAATTTCTTTCGAAATCTATTCAAAATATTATTTAACAACCTTTAAACTTAAAAAATCGAATTGTTTTAACATACTGTGGCTTAAAAATTTGAAATTTAAGTAACAATGTGACTGTAGTGTTTACACCTATTTTAGTATCTTAAGAAATCTATTTTCCTTTTTGTCAGATATCTTAAAAACTAATTGATTAAAGTTCATTGAAATTGTGTTTGCAATCAAAACTAACTGACGAACAATTCTGAGGAATCAGGGAATTCGAATGAAATAAAGTCAAGTTCTACTAAGAATCAAATTTAAATTTTTTAGGTATGTTTACTAAAAATTTAGTAGCTTTCCTAAAATTTCAAAAAAGAAAGGAATGTCAAAAAAACATTTTCATAATTTCACTATTTTATAAACTTCCATCAAATACACTTTACGGTTTTTTATCTGCTGGTCTCATCAGATATTATTAATCGATATTAGTTCCTTCATTTCAAATTGATAGATTTTTCCAAGTAAAACCTCTTAAGCACTTTTTCAGAGAAAATTTACCGTTGTTTACAGTATGTTTACAAAACTTCTGCACTCAATAGAAAACTGAATTTTCATATATGTCTTTACAAGAAACTTATTTCTGCAGAGAAGAGTTTTATCTAGCGAACATCCTCTAAATGTTATAGGCCTTCGAAGTTCCGAAAAAAAACATTTTTTGACTATTTATGTTATTGAAACCAGAAACTGTTTAAAAATTCTGCAAAAGCTTTTCTCTTCTACGGCGGTACATCATAAAGCAAATTTTTTCTCTCAAATTTTATCGATATCGTTTTTTCTTCCCAACGTAAGTAATTGTAGAAATCGTAAAATTTAGCAGCTTTTAAAAAAATTTACGAATGAACAAGATATTTTATTGGTAGAATTTAATACATAGTTTATTTCCTAAGAAGAAATTGTTTTTTCCACTTCGAACGCCTTCCAAGTTACTACCACTCGAAATTTGTGAAATTTATATTTTCGCTACTATATATTTCTGAAACTGCAAACTTTTCCAAGAGTGTGTAAACGCAGAAAGCTAACTGCCATGCCATAAATCTTGAATTCGACCATTATGTTAACACTTCTTTAAATTTTTTTTCTGTTTGTCACCCTAAATGTATGCAATCATTTGAAATATTTTAGTATACTCGTATGAATGAAATATATTCAACGGGAAAGTGCTATTTTCCAAACCATTAGTTTGATCCAACTTTATTTGTATATATTTGTAGCACAACTGTTGTTAATATAGTAATACAAAATATTTTAATATCAAATTATATTTTTTATCAAATAATAATGCCGAATTAATTTAATTAGTAAATAGTAAATAAAATTTGCTCATAATTTATTTTGTAGCGTGTCAAAAATTCCTATAATTCTACATAATGATGGTGTTCATTAAATGGAAAATTTTAATTAACAAGTCAAAATGATATTAATTTGCTAGTTAATCCCTTACATTAGCAAAATAATGTATTGTACAATTTTGTGAATATTTTGTACAAATTAAAATAATTATTTAATTGAAAGTTTCAAAAGAAATTCATTACGAGAAAATTTTCACATAAAAATCCACAAAAAATCTTCACAATTGACATTTATTGAATTCAATTGTTGCCATTGTTCCAGAATTATTTTAATACTTTAATAATGTGCTTTGTACGTGCATTTTTGTAAAACAATTAAAAGAATTTTCTAAATAATTATTTTATTCTGTTATACGTATATGATTATGTGATGATTTAATAATGTATAAAAATAAAAGCATTATATTAATTTAAATAATTATGCAAATTTAATGTCATAATGAAAAATGCATGTGCAGTAGCATAAAGTATTCAAACTAAATTCATAAATTCTTAATACTTTTAGTGTTAACGAAGTTATTGGTCTTTGATAATGGAAAAGTGTTGGAAATACATGCCGTCTTTAACAATTTTCTAAAAAAAATTTGAAGAAAACGTTTATTACTTTTATTCTGTCCGTCCGTCCATCCGTCCTTCCATGTTTCTGTTTACAAAACTTCTACGCCCTTAGAAAGCTGAAATTTTACATATAAAAAGATCTTTATTAGAAACTTTACCTATCTCCGCGCTTAAAGAGCTATAATATTTCAAAAATCAATGCAATTTTTTTTAGTATTTATTGAAACAAAACCAACTACAAAAATTTTTTAAATTGTGCAACCGCATAAAAGTAAAGGTGGACTTCTTCTACGTGAAGTTAGGTGGATATAAAGTAGCTAATCTTTTAGAAATCAAAATTGCCGTTAAAATCATTATCTGAAATCCGTTTTTCTTTAATTTTTTCTTTCAGAAACAAACATGTACAAGCTCTAGATTTTGGCTGCTAATCTTTTGGCAAATAATTTAGAAAAAAAATCTTTTCCACCCTCATCTCTCTTAAGTTATTACCTCACGAAATTTGTAAAATTTTATTATCCAGAGGCATATTTTTCCGAAACTACGAGTTTTTCCAAATTTCTATAAATGCAGAAAACTAAGGGTAAATCCCATGGCATCAAAAAATATAATTATTTTTCTTAACTCACGTATTTAACTTTTAAATTCAAGTATTATGTTAAGGTTCCTTAAAATATTTTTTTCTTTGCTTTATCCTAAATGTATGCAATCTTTGAAATATTTGGTCACTAATGAAAGTAATTTAAATAATGTGGTAGATTGTTTTTAAAAGCAGAATTTTCACTTGCTACTTTACAAATCATTGAGTGGAGCCAACTTTGTTTCGTATTTAAATCTATAATTTATTGCTTATATACAACCATTTGAGTAAAATCCAGTTTGTTATGTAAATTACTATTAAAGACTATTAATTTGGTTTATTAGAGAACAACTTGACATCTCTAAATTTAAAATTTTTCAAAATTCGAAATTTAAATTCATAAAGTGTTTTTGACTATCAACAGAATTTAATGATATTTTCTCGTTATTGAATTATTTCATTATACATTTCATTTTGTAAATTGTAATTGATGTATTTGTTGAAAATTATATTCTACGTTACGATAATGTAATTTAATAAAGTTGGGTCAAACCAATGGTTTGTATTGTAGCACTTTTCCATTCAACAAGTGAAAATTCTGCTTTTAAATACAGTCTATGTATACCTATCCCACTATTGAAATTATTTTCATTCATATTTAACTATTTCTAGGATTGCATATATTTAGGATGGTGCATTCATGCAGTCTTTGAAATAAAGCAAAAATTAATATAAAGAGGGGTTAACATAATGCTCGATTTTAAGGGTTAATTGTGTGAGTTAAGAAAAATAATTATATTTTTTAATGTCATGGAATTTATCGCTAGCTTTTTATGTTTATAGAAATTTGAAAACGTTTGCGGTTTCGGAAATATAAGGCGCCAAAAATTCAAATTTTACAAATTTCAACAGGGGATGGAGATGGAAAAAAATTTTGTTTTAACGAAATGAACTATTGGATAATGTTTAAAAGCCCCTACAATTTCAAGCTTCTACAGGCTGGGGTCTAGAAAAAAAACGACATCAAAAATTTAGAAAAAAAGAACTTTAGATAACGGTTAGATTGATTATTAGATTTAAAAATTTAGAAAAATAGAACTTTATTTGAACGGCCATTTTGTTTTTCTAAAGTTTAACTATAGTATACCGCGCGCTAGGGGAAGCAAGCCGCTGCCTTTATGCGTTTGCAAAATTTCAAAAATGCTTTTGGTTTCATTGCAAAAAATAGTTAAAAAAAGGCCATTTTTAGGGTTTTGGGGGTATAACTTGGGTATAACTTCTAGAGGGGAGGAGATAGGTAAAAATTTTGTTCTACGGAAATAAGTTTCTAGTAAAGATCTATATACATACAAAATTTCAGCTTTCTATCTTCAAGGGTGTAGAAGTTTTGTAAACAGACACACGGACAGACGGACGGACGGAGGGACGGACGGACAGAGTGAAACTAATAAGCACTTTTTTTCAAAAATTTTTTGGAAAAGTGCTAAAAACGGAATCTATCCAAGGATATAAGCAAAAACTAACAATCTACATATATACATTGAACTTTGGAAAATATAATTAAATTTTAAAAATATGTTTAGGATTTTCTTTAGAAATTTACAAAAA